GATGTGTGCAGTGCCCTGCTCGTCCCTAACACATGGCTGTCTCAGGTGCCTACCAAGAAACTGAAAATCTAGACATCATTTGACAAAGGACCATTTCAGCAGCAGCATTCAACTGCTCAGGTTTCAAAGACACAGCACTGTGAAGGATCACTATATTTCTCAGCAAAGACAACTCTGGCAGAGGGAACAGCTTACCATTTCCCCCACGTATAATAGTGGACAAAGCTGTGCATCAGCCAGACAAATCCTGATGCAAAATTCAGCCATGAGATTTAGAAGGAACTCTTGGGTCATTTAAAAAAGCATTTTGTATACAAGAGATGAAGAAACAGTTTGGATCATGACGCTTTTCAGAGCTGGCTGCTGTGCTGACTGCACAGCACTGGGAATTGGCCCTACTAAATCCCACTCTAGAGCAACCTTCAAGTCTCATCTGTTTACCTTTCCCAGGTCCAGTGCCAGCAGATTTGTTTTGTGCTTGAGATGACCCACTGTAGCCTCCTTTGCTGTAATCTCCAGCTGTCGTTCCCTGTGTTAAGTCATCGTAGCCTGCTGGTGTGTACAAGACAGGGTGTCAGAGTGTGCAAGCAGCGCGGTCGCCCACGCGGCACACGCAGTGCTGAGTGCTTACTTGTGCCGTAGCCGTGCTGTCCGTAGCCACTTGCTTGCTGGAAGGGAGTCGACGCGGTGTTCAAGTTGACTCCGTGCTGTTTAGCCGATGCTGGAGGCACCTGGACAAAGGAAGGGAACAAAAGGCGCTGTGAAGTGGGGAACAGCACACCAAACGCGAGCTCCCTCTGCCATCTAGCGGGGAAGGCACCTCCCCCTCACGTGGGAAATTCGATCGGGAGTTGGAGGACTGGGAAGGCATGGCACAGGACACTTATGCTTCCAAGCAGTAACTTGCTGTAGTGGATTTGTGCAAGCCCCATGATTTCTGCTTGGAATTACCCTGTGACTGCAGTGCAGACCTCCCTCCCTCCAAAGAGGCTGCATGTTTCTTTCATACGCTGAATGTAAACAGCAAATTCTTACCCACAAACCCAAGAGGAGCAACCACAAAATCAAACAAAGCGTCAAACCATGCCTGAGGCTGTTTCATAAAACACTGTCCTACGGGGCCCTAACAGACTCATTTACCCTTCTGCCTGGAGCAGCAGCTCTGCCCAAATAACCTTCTTCTTCCCAAGACTACCAGCCCTCCTGTGACTTAATGGGGTCTCCTCCATCCTTGAAAGGATCTCCAGGCACACTCAGCTCACTGACTAAGCTCTGGGTCTCCCCTTGATGCTTCAGAGACCAGCAAGGGCTTTCAGGAACACACAATCCAACTACACAGGGGTCCATAAGTTCCGGCTTTTTAAATTTGTTTTCTTCTGGAAGGAACTGCAGCTATTTACTTATATTGCATGTTTTTGGAGACTGGGGAAGTTGTCTCTACTCCATTCCCGTAAGACTCCACCTGAATACTGACTCCAGCTCTGGGGTCCTCAGTACGAGAAAGCCATGGACCTGTTCGAGCATCCCTCCTATGAGGAGGGGCTGAGAGTTGGGATTGTTCAGGCTGGAGGAGAGAAGGCTCTGGGGAGACCTTACAGTGACTTAAAGGGGTCTTATAGGAAAGATGGAAAAAATGTTTTGTCAGACCCTGTAGTGGCAGGCTGAAGGGCAGTGCTTTAAACTGAAAGATGCTAGATTTAGATTAGATATAAGGAAAACATGCATCATGGTGAGAGTGGTGAGGCACTGGCACAGGTTTCCCAGAGAAGTTGTGGATGTTCCACTACTGAAAGTGTTCACGGTCAGGTTGGATGGGGCTCTGAGCAACCTGGTCTAGCGATAGGTGTCTCGGCCCACAGCATCGGGGTACGAATGATATGTTTTCTGATGACACCTTTCCAACCCAAATCATTATATAATACCAACATGTAAAATGTTTGGGCTAGAGAAAGCAAAACCAGAGAGATATGTAGAGAGGGTTACAATTGAGGCTGCTGCACTTACAAACATGGTTGGCCCATACTGGAATGCATTGGGTACACCAGGCACGCCAGCATAATAAGGCAGCCCAGTGTAGCTGTACCCTGGGGGAAGGGCTGGGTTGAGGAAGGGCTGCTGAGTTGTATGGTGAGTCTGTGTCTGGTTCTGCTGTGGCTGGGCCAGCGTGGTAGCAGGAGCAGGAGAGGCAGAATCTCCACGGCCAAATTTTGTTACATCACCTGCAAAAGAAAGAACTAATCAGAAAAACTGTCAAAGCTACTCCAGAGGTGGAGAATTCAAAGGATTCAAAACCTCTGAATACAAGTAGACAACTACAGAACAGAGCAGCACATCCTACACCCAAAAGCCTGCAATTGTTCATGGAAAGCCCTGCCCTAGTCCCTGTTCCTGACCTACACAGGGTTCTTGCCTATTTGTGGCACAGAACGCTGTGCTATCACTAGTCCATTGATAAAATGGAGATACCAATACTTACCTTTCTCACATGGTCTGAGTAGATTCATTACTATCAGATCATTGCAATAAAATATGCTAAAAGCAGAACTATGGTAAATAGCTGAAGAGCCAATGGTTGTTGGGTTAACGTGTGACTCTCCTCAAGGTTAAACTGATTAGCTAAGCTTCATGGGCTGAAAGCAAGTTAGTATTTAAAGGCAGTGATGGACATATTTTTGCCAATGTCTGTTTATTTGCCAAGTGTGACTAGTTAAGATGTCTGGTTCCTCACACCACCAAAGTTCTGAAGACAGTAGCTGAAGGCCAGGAAAGCAAGGCTTGCATCGCGGGCCACCTTATTGAAGAAGCAGGAAGGGAAATTCAGTTATTAACCCAAAAGCAGTCTCCCCAGAGAAGTGATCATGAAGCAGAAAACTCCCAAACACTTGCATTTTCTGGATGCCTACAGAGCAGCATGTTCACATGTTTTTTAAGGAGGTGGCATACATCAATCACATCTATTTCATTCCCAACCAGCATTCCTTTTTGTCGGTTATCAGGAAGTATCACAACAGTTAATACCATCATTATAGGAATTATACCACCTCTGGCTACAGTTTAAAGCTGTAATCATTTGGCAGTGGATGAAAACCACTGGCTGAAAATCTTGTGTGGCATTCATGTCATCTTTGCACAACGGTAACTAAAGAGCAAGAGCAGCAATGAGGAAGGGCTTCTTCACCCACATGCTTACAGAAGGGAAAAACAATTCCTTTTTCAGCAACAGCAGGATGACCTGCACTTTGAAACCAGCACATCTCCTGTACCAACCTCATCTTTAAATAGCACTCACCTGAGTATGGGTTGTTAGCAAGGCTCCCATCTCTGCCTGTCAACGTTGCTGGAGCAGGGAATGTAATTCCGTAGTAATCCTTGGAAAGAGACAACATCGTCTATTAATAGCTGAAACTGTAACAGAGCTGGTCAGCTTTTATAAACCCCTTATTATATGCGTAAAAAAATTATAAAAGCAAGAACTAAAGGAAGTTTGGGTGGAAGTTGACCCAAAGTTGGCTAAGCAGCAGAGCTGAAAATTGAACTGATTCTTCAACTTAAAAATAAACTTACTTTATACATATTTTTAATATT